TACACATTCCAAAAAGTTTGTGTCGATTTGTGTTGTCGGGAATATTTATACGTGTACTACACACATGGTCAAGCACATAGCAGCTAGCACTCAGCTAAAGCGACGCGTGTTCAATTCGCAACACCATCATCATTTTTATATGCACTGTTTGTTATGATTTTTTAGTCTCTCTTAGATTTGAACAAGAAAATTGGATATAAAAACAGACAGAAGTATTTAAAATATATATAATGTATATATGATCACATTGCGACAAAATTGCGTGAGGTGAAATGATCACATTGCGACAAAATTATACATAAGTTATTTGATTAATTTATGACATTGCTATAAATGAAACAAATTACAATGTTGAGACACTAGCGATTGTATAGAAAGCGCAAATAATCCAAATAGTCTCCTCTAAAAACGAAGTTCATTTAAATAATTTCATCAATATTGAATTTAAATAAGATAAATTTTATGGTTTTTCAACAAAGTGAAATATTTCAGTGTGTTTAATTGCAGACTTTCCAAAGTATATTTAAACTTAGTCGGATGTATCTTTGGGTACTTTTGAACTTTTCACTTTATTTGTTTCCATCAAGATACTATAATACGCTTGTAATAGGAATGAAAGAAATATTATTTTGAAGAATTTCTTTGTAAATTTCAATATATTTTGTTATAACGACTATCGATTTATTTTTATACACATTGACAATTTTGTGTTGGGGAAAACTACTCTATTTTAATTTTGAAAATCTATTGACACATTAACATGTGAATAATAGCGAATTCTTCGTGTCCTGATTTTACTTTTCCGCACACACCTAGTGTGTAAGGTAAAGTATTGGAATCGGTCGAAAAATTAACACCCTCAAAAAACATGTTTTATGGGTATTTTAGGAGCCGGGAAACACGAATCTACCGTTTTTTCGATGTCCGAATGTATGTGCGTGGTACCCTGTACCCTGTACCCTGTATCCTGTACCCTGTACGCAAAAATTTGTTAACACGATAACTTTCAAACAAGAAAAGTAATTCAAAATCTGACTTCACAGGATGATTGGGGGTGCCGAGGAATAGAAACCATTAGATTTTAAGCGACTTTGGTTGACAGAGTGAAGTGTCATGTCTGGTGTGATGCCCATGGCCATCCATGGGAAAAATTCAATTTTTCTTCCAAAAGTGATATTTAATGTATTCTTAAACACTCAAAAATATCTATTGGGGGGTTTTTGGGTACGAGAAAACCGAATATGACGTTAGTTTTGCGATACAATCAACTTTCGACATACTTTTCATACAAAAATGTCAAAAAATTGAATTTATGTATGGAAGCCATGCCTGTAATAAGCTATCGTAATAAGCTAAAACTTTGCACAGGTTATTTTTGGATTTTTCGCTCAAAAACGAAATTTTGTATGGGAAGTACCCTTAATGTGCATTGAAATTTCTTCAAACTTTCAGAATGTTAACTTTTTGTGAAAACAATAACCTCTGCAAATTTTCATATGATTACGATATCATATAGGTATGGCTGCGAAACAAAAATTCCCATTCTCAGTAGTTTTTGTATGAAAAGTGCTTCAAAAATTATTCGTATCGTAAAACTAATGTCAAATTAAGTTTTCTCGTGAATTCTTTGAGTAAAAGATTTGTAATAAATGCATGTTGTGGATCACAGTGCGGAAAAGTTCATCTTACGGATGTAAGACATTTTATTCTTATTGATATCAAATATAACACAAATTTTGCTTTTATTTTGACGTGGTGACATCAAAAAAGATCACAAAATATTCCACAAATTTTTAAGCAAAAATGAATGGGTCAGAATAAAAATCCGACTTGTACGCAGAGTCTATAAAAGTGGAACACAGCTAGCAAAGCAAAGTGTATTACAACAAATAAACTATGTAAAAAAAACTCCATGTTCCACTTTTATAGACTCTGCGTACAAGTCGGATTTTTATTTTGACCCATTCAAATCAAAGTGGCTTTAGACAAATGGGTTTGCTTAACTTCTCGTAAATTTTGATACTCGAACTAAAATATGTTGTTGAAATATGTGCAACATATAAAAAAGTTGATCGTATAAAAATATTTTTGGTTCTATTCAAGAATCACACGATGAAAAAAGAGAAAAAAAGATTGCGCTTAACCGACTTAAGCGATAACAAATATAATATTTGACGTCATTTGAGTTCTCAAGCAGATAATTTATAAAAACTAAATTCGTAAATAGCAACCGTAGGGGATAAAATATCTTAATTTCAATATCGTACCATTTTGCAGTTCAAACAATTATTATTTAGATATACATACGAGTATATCAAAATAACGTCAGTGTTAAATAATTTAAATGTTCAAAACTAATAAAGTTTTTTATCATCTCAAATCATAACATTTGATTCACAAAATATTATTTTTGAAGTGTTCATTATAATTATTCGAATTAAAAATGTATAGTTCATTTATACGCGTATTTAGACGTGTCTGATTCGATTCGATTATTCACGAAACAAAATCAAGATAGAAGAAAAAGTCTTCTGTATCCGGCGCCTAAAAATAAATATTAGCAAAATTAAGCGGGATAAATCGACATACATACATTCAGCAATCAGCATATATGCAATAAAAACCGATACTATAGTTAAAGAGGAAATATGTGCAAAATGAAAAAAAGTAACTGAACTGTTATTTTTTCTTTCATTCAGTGGCGTCCCGTAGGCCCGGATATTGGGAAATGGAGACATATGTAATTCATCAAATCTTCCACCCAAATAGTTCAATAAAAGTATATAACCATCTATCAGACTCAGCGTGCTTTGTCTACAATCAGTCATTCGGTAATTTTTGAAAAAAAAGAAGAGGCTGTTTTCATCAGATATAAATGGGTCACAATAAAAATCCGACTTGTACGCAGAGTCCATAAAAGTGGAAGAAAGGCCGTCCAATTTTGTCCGTCCGTTCGGTCCGAAAGCCTTAACAAATTCCGCTGTGGAACATAGAATTGTTGTTTCATTACAACAAATAAACTATGTAAAAAAAACTCTGTGTACAATTCGGATTTTTATTCTTATCCAATCATATATACTACTTAACCCGAATTTTGGCCCTTTTTGGCCTTCTATAAAACATAGTCTTTAGTAAAATAAAATCAGCTCGCTTTGCTCGTCTTAGATTTTAGATTCTTGCTGGCCTTAAAAGTATGAACAGTGAAACATTTTTTTTGCTCTTCTATTTTTTAAGAAAGAGAAGATATCAGATGGACTTTTGGATAGAATTTTCTTTCGATTTGCTATGGTTTTTTAATTTCCCAGGGTTTTTGACAAATAAAAATTAAACAATCTCCCTCAAAGTTGACCTCAAATTACGCCACTATATATATGCGTCGATAGAAAATTATGTATTTTTTGTCATTTATCAAAATTCGAACAAGAATCCCCACACCCGAAATGAACCTCATGGTACGCCACTGCTTTCATTACATATGTGTGCATGTTGCTTCCCATATAACATATTGAAAATGCGTGCTTATGTGAAATTGGCATAAGTCCAAAGCCGAACTCGACTCAAATGTATTTGATTAATATTGTAACTCATGTGCTGTGTGAAACAATTGTGTACATTTATACGTTTAAATACATAAGGCATGCTATATTTCTTAAGCAACATTTTTGTAGCCTTTGTACTTCCTCTACGAAAACATTCTAGTCTATATTCTTTATGGGATGTAGTTGTACAAATTTAATGTGAAAGACATACATGAAACTGTGAATTCACATGAAAATCATTTATCTGATTATTGGATATGTTAATTAATAATTATATCAGTAAGATACTGTATGTTCGAAATTATGTAAAAATGATGCATTTGAATCAGCATTGAAACGTTAACATTTTGTTTGTAACTAAAACTTGTACTAGTATGACCTAGTAATTTGATTCAATATCCATATAAAATATATAAAATGAATGTTTTATCACATGAATTTATTCACTACTGGAGGCAAGTGAATACATTATTGAATTGTTATCACATTACATGTATTGAATGAAAACGATAAATATGAGACTGGACTAGAATCTATCCTTAAAATTACATGTTATCTTTCGAAGCATCTACGCAAGATTATTTTTGTTTGTTTATTTCTAACATAAATTGTATATTTATAATAAAGATAGATATTAGCAATTACCGAAAAACACTGTGGGGTCTTGGTAAAGAATGTGAATTTCCAAAAACAACGAATATACGCTTTTTTTATGATTATTCAAGCGGATGTTCGATGTATGCATCTTTTGCTACCAAAAAATATACTGTCGGCGTTGTTAAAAAAACTCTGTTGCAATATATTGACCGTGAACTTGTGCCTGGTAATGGGTGAATTTGCATTACAAATGGTTCCTTGGGTAGAGAATTTAATCAAATATACGAATCTATGTTGTCGATTATAGATTTTCGGCACTAAGTGTATTAAATCATCAAAACTAATTTTTATTAGATAATACCAATCGTCAAATAAAAATTACTTGCTCTCCGATCGATATTTTTATTAACCACTCCATAGTATGACCACTAATCAAATGCAATTTTTGTCTTCTTCTTCAAGATGCTAACGATATTTTTTATTCTATCTTCATATTCTTCATTTTAATTAATTGCTTCACAAGAATTGAACTTGAATTGTGTTGTTCAATATAAGTTTGGCTAAAGCCAAACCTTACCATTTATAAATATGTTTCAAGCTAATGGGGAAATTAATGTCGTTAAACTCCCATGTAATTAAATATGCAAAATGAAAAGAATGGCATCATCAAAATTGTCATAAAATTCCAAAACTAAACAAAAAAAATACGCAGAAGATGTTTTTTTATTTTAATATGAGACGCGCGTGTTCGAGTGAATTTTTATATTTAAATTAAAATCGATTCAATTCCAATAAAAAGAACAGTTGTTACTTTTTCGTTTGGCTACTAAACAGCTCAGAATTCAAAATGACAATAAAACTTACCAGACGCAGACGTTGATTCATTATGTTTATGGTGATGATGATGGGAGTGATGTCCGTGTGAATGATGATGCGTTGAATGTTCAATGGGTATTGATGTAGTTGTTGAGTCACTGCTTGAATCGATTAGCCGTAATCGGTACGAACCATGTAGGTTCATATCATTTACATTTGAAAATACTCCATTTCTCACCGCTGTCCATACAAATACTAATAATAACAGCAACGCAACTATACTGAATACAGCCAATTTTGAAGATAATTTCTGACTTGATCGAGTCGTCATATTTGTATATATTTATTACTCTGTATATTTTGTGTTTTACAAGAGAGATAATGCAGGACTTTTATTGTGTTCTGCGAATTTTTTCGATTAAGATTGGCAGTGGAATTTGTTTTCGAAAGAAGAATCTTTTTTTGTGTCTTCGACTTTTTTGTTGCTTTCTTAAGAGCTACGCTAGCTATAAATTTATTCGTTACTGAAATGGCACATTGGCAGTTGTTCGTTTCGACGTTAGTTGATTCCCTTTTTCTCTGTGTATTTTGTTCTCTTGTTTTACTCGAAATCCTTTCGTTTTAATGGCAGTACATTTCGTTTCTAGTAATTCACTTTGGAGATTCGTTCCGCATTGATGGGCGGCTTTCAAACACTAAAATAAACAAAATAATCTTTGAAAATATGATAAATCATTTAAAGTGATTTAAATAATTAAAAAAAAATTCAAACTATGACGATGATACTATTTTTTGATACTTTTTGGGATGAGATATTTATAGAATGCCGAGATGTTGTGACTAGCAGTATCTAATACGAAAAGATATCAAGTTTCTCTCACATTGACTATGCAATTTGTCATTTTGACAAAGTATTGATATATTAATCATTAATTGCATTCAGACGTTTCGCTTAACAAATAGGAACTTAAATCATATTTCAACATATTTCTACATTTGAATTTTGTGAATTTCACACATTCTATTTATTGATAAATTTCGCGTTCTAAATGAATTCGGAAAAAGCTACGCATTCCCACGTAATCCATAACTTTCAGCGAATAAATCAATGACCTCTTAACGTTCAAAAAACACTTCTGTCTACACCAGACAATATATTTGGATTTTGTCATCTGGATATTTCAGCTCATCTGGATAACGTGTTAGGCGATGATATGGAGTGAAAACAATAGAAGTGGTTGTTGTATTGTATAGGTATAAAAATACTACCATAACTATAACAATCACTTCCATTGTTTTCATTTCGTATTATCGCCTAATGTCAAATGACAAAATCCAAATATATTGTCTGGTCTACACAATAAAAACCCAAGAGTTAAGTGATTACCAATACATGTCTTATATTTCATAAAAGTGTATGATACATACGCATAGAATGTTGCTAGCTAGGGGGTAGACACGTGGAATAGGATTAGACTTTTTAGTGTAAAAATTCGAGAAATTAAAGTGGAATAGAGAATTCAGTAGCTGGATTCACATGGATTCACTAATCCCGTGTATGGAATAGCGAAAATGGGTCAATTCAAAGTTTTTGTAATCGATAGTACAGAATTTGATAAAAGCATTGAACTTGTTTTGAGATAGTAATTTGTTCTTTTTTGAAATATATTTTTTAGTTCAAAAGTCGATTACAAATTTACAAAACAATAAATACACTTTCTCAAAATTTTATTGATGAAATAAATAATTTTAATTATCAATAACAAAATGTCATACTCCAGTATCGATAAATAAGTTTTCAACAAAGTGAATAGCGGCGAAATGTGACATCACATTTGACAATGAAATGACGGATTGGTGGAATAGTAGGATTAGTGTTTTTATATTGGAATCATGGTTTAATCGTTTGTGTCTCCCCCCTAGGTTGCTAGCTAGCTATCTATATCAGCTATTGCTATAGAGATATATAAATAACTGCTATTTAACGCATCTCTTCGGTTTTCATTTCTCTTTCCGCACTGAACCATTGTTATCCATTGCTGAGCGATGGATAGAAAACGTGTATCGGAAGGATTGATTGTGTTTTATTGGTGATGTTTGCGCAAGAATTCATCGATTCAATTAGTTTTGAAAGCCATGGTAGCTTATTTCGCGTACAAAAGCAAAAAATGTGTAGACAATAACAGATTATATTTTTCACTTGAATTATAAAACTCTCTCTCACTCTGAATGAGTTATATTATATATTTAAATGTAGAAATGTAAAAAAAATCACCATAAAAATAATGATATTCTTATAAAATGTCTGTTTTACAATAAAAAAAAACACGGAAACTTATTTGTACTTCAAATCATTTATAAATATAAAAACTAAACGTTAAATTGATGAATAGGATAAAATTTGCGCTTTAAATTATTATATTTTTTTCGTTTACTCAGTATCACAGTACAAAGGTCCGAACATTGAAAAAGATAACGTGGCGAAGATCATCGCTCTTTGAAATGATTGCCAATAACCCACACAGCTGAAGTTTCATTGAAAGTGAATTGGGCGTTGAAACAATACAAAATTCCTTTTTTCGAATATCTAGAAGATTTTTCATCGTTTAAAAATTACTCGTATTCGACTGTTAAATTTTAACAGCGTAAATAATTTTTTTTGTTGCAAAATCACTGAATATTTATTGAAAATATATATATATGATATCAATTTAGTCTTTATAAGCCTTCAAATTATACAGATTTACTAATCCAGGTAAAATATTTTAAAAATCGTTAAAAACCAGCAATTTAGAACGACTATATAAACGACTATTATAGCTTGATAGGGCTGTGTCCACTGATTAGTGATTACTCAGTTAAATCTCAGCAGTCTTAAATCTCTGAGTTTTTTAAAATATCCGTGAAAGAAAATTATCAATATTAGGTAAAAAATGAAAAGTTTGTTCGAGAGGCATCTTCAATTTTTATAAGAATAATTCAAAATCTCTTTAGATAATATATTTGAAATATATCTCAAAGATTCGCAACGTTTTGTGATGATTTGAATTCCAAAAAAGTATTTTTCGATAGTGTTTCCATGTGGCCCTTTGGAGTTTTTGTACTTGTACTGGAACAAACATAGTTAACAAACATACACTCCATGAAATAATGCAGTTGAACTGTACGTAATTTAATGGCATTTGATTCACGATAGAAGGATAAAATTTTCAATAACATCACCATTCCAAAAAATATCGGATGATGTGTGTGAAGAAAAATGAAGAAAGTGGTCTTTTTTAGTTGGAATTTTGAATGAATGTCCGAGAATGAAAGCGAGACTTCTGTTCATAACTTATTGAAATATAACACCGCCATACAAAAAGTGCTGACTGTCAGGTGTTACATTTCAATAAGTTGTGAATAGAAGTCTCGCTTTCATTCTCGGGCAATCAAATATACTCCACCATAATTTTTATTTTTTATTATTGTCTCTATGGACTTCAACTTTATAGAGCAGTTTGGGAATTGAAAATATCATCCGTAATGTGACCTGAGTATTGATTTATGTCATACTCTGTCTTTGGTCAATATCGAAAATTATCTTTCATATTCAAAGTGAAAAATTAACCGGAATTGTTATTACTAAAACCATATATTTTCAATTTTTTTGAAAGAGTTGTCTTCACTCTCACTTATTACCCCATGAAAAAATATCTGTTTTGGAATCAGCTCATGCTTTTACAACTACTCTGGGTAGTACAGGCTATTTTTTCGAAAAAGTCATACACCCTAATACTTAAGTCGCTTCAATTGTCAAGGTTAATCGTTTGTGCGATTTTTTACTCCGTAAACACAATGTTATCATTATATTAATCCCTCAAGAGGTATAAAATGGAATCGAAATCAATTTTCAATCTCTTTTTCAACGTGCAATACGTTTTATTTACGTTTTAACGCATGTGGTTTTATTATTGGCTATTTTGCATATTCTTCATAATTTTTGTTTATATTTGGTACGTTTAATATTGGTATTTTATAATATCGAAATATATGTGAACAACTTGTTCCAATTGCCGCCGCCAGATATATTAATGATATAAGCTTGAACAATAAAAAATATTAATACACAACGGATGGATTTTAATCCATGTCTATAAATAGAAAAATTACTGCCCGGCAATTGTATGAATTTTACTGATATTTATTCTTGATAGCTACATGCGACTACATGGGTTGCTGATTGTTTATAATATTTGATAAAAAAGTTCTCAATTCAATGAAATCTGTTTACAGTTGCGTGAATAATTTCAAAATTCTCATATATATCAAATATATAAACAAATCATCGTAGAAAACGAATAAAAACGCATAAAAACGCTCGATCGTCTGAATGACATCTAGCTTCACCGTGCACACAGGGGGAAGACATAATTTTTTACTTTACAAAATCAGAGCATACTAGAAGCTACCGAAAGAATATTTGTTCATGTCGATTCTATCCTATTAAAAATTGGCAATACATGGATTAAATTCGTCAATAAAAGACTACATTAGCACTGCCAATGCATTACCAATCCTTTTATATGATAGATTGACCCGTAGTGCATTTTGTATGGAAATCAGGCATTTTTCAAGAACTGCAATCAATAAATTAAAAAATTGGTGCGAAGCAAACAAACTTCATTTAAATCTTGACAAATGCTCTGTTATGTCAATTTCAAAAAAGAGATAGCAAATCGTTAGTTCCTACTCTTATGGCAGTCACAAATTCAAGAGAGTGAGTGAACAAGAGATTCGGGAGTCATCTTTGACAACAAACTCAACTTCATAAAACACATCGATTATATCGTGGCCAAAGCAACATCACAGCACTCGGATTCGTCAAAAGATTTTGCTACGATATTCCTGATGTCAATACTCTCAAGTCATTAAACTGTGCTCTCGTACAATCAATCTAGGAGTATGGCTGTTTGGTATGGCTCCAGTACCATGATATACAAAAGAACAAAATCGAATCGTGCCTGCGTCAATTCTCAATGTTTGCACTCAAGAAGTATCCAAATGTTTCAAATGACTACAGGATATCATCGTTCAACACTCGCCTGGAGAAACTTATCATGCAATCACTCCAAAGGCGCCGTATCAACGCATCAATTCTATTCATTTTCAACTTAATGCAAAATAACGTTCACTGCCCATCACCGAAGACTGAAATTGCCCGCAATCAAAATGGACGAAACTTGAGATGTGTCGAGTACTTCAAAATCAAGGACAGAAACTTCAAAATCAATCCATCAGTACCAATCAACTAAATGTGCAAAATGTCAAATAAGGTCCACGAACTATTTTCAACGCAATCAAAAAGATCAACCTTTAAAAATCGACTTTTAGCTTTAAGCTAGGGGTTTTTATCTCAATCAAAACACTGTGACTATTGCGTATATTTTGCGTATATTCACTGCGAATATTCACAAAATATTCGCAAAATACGTACATTCAATGCATGATTCGTAAAATATGCATAGTATATGTACCATCGAATAATATATATTGGCGAATCATTTTTCTAACTTGTCATTGGTGTCTAACTATAACACAGTTTTCTTTAACGATCTAATGTGATACATTGTGATATTTTTATATATATATTAATTACTTATTTATTTAATTATTTATTATTTATTTAATTATTAATTTATTAATTATTTTCTGA